TTTTATTCACTTATCCACCACCAAACCTGAAAAATCCATGACAGAACTAGAATAGCAATTATCTTAATGCTCTAATTGTTGAGATACAATTTTTAGGCATAGGTGTTGATTATTAGGCATAGGTGAGATTATTACTAATTACTAATTTCCTGCTACCTAATTAAGTTTTTCTGAAAGGTTATAGATTTTCAGTATTGTAAAATGTCAAAGCATTTTTAAAATATATAACTTTGATAATCAAATGTATTTTAGCAGCTGTAACTCTTTCCTTGGCAATCAAACAATTTAAAGACAACAATATAACATATAGTATCCAGACTCTGTATTTTCCATCTTTACATGGCTTTTTTATTATTCTATTGCTTTTACTTCGTTTTGTTTCTTTTTTCCTGAGACAGGGTTTCTCTGTGGAAATCCGCCTGCCTCTGCCTCCTGAGTGTTGGGATTAAAGGCATGTGCCACCACCACCCAGCTACTCTATTTTTTTTCTTCCTCTTTTTCTCTCACAAGCCTACATATATTTTAAACACACTGTAAACCTTCAGAGGTTTTTCTTCATTGGAATCTGTCTTTTAACTGTTAAACAACATGCTAAAATTAAAATGGCGGCTTTCTTAGCCACTGTTTTTCCAAGGAGCATGCCACCGGCTTGGAGATGTGGTCACTGCCTCTGCCAGCTTCGTGGAGCACGACCCCACATCAAAAGTCTCATACTCGACGGGTATTGGTGGTGCATGCCTTTAATCCCAGCACTTGGGAGGCAGAGGCAGGGGGGTCTGTGTGAGGTTTAGACCAGCCTGGTCTACAAGAGCTAGTTCCAGGACAGCCTCCAAAAGCCACATACTCTACCGACTGAGCTATCCTGGCCTCTTAAAAGGAAGCCCTGCAGTTTTTTCCACTTAGGCTGAGTCAGGAAACATCTCCTAAGGAAACCGCTCAAGTCTCTGCTTGTCTCTAGCAAACAGAGCTCACCCGAGAAAATGCTGCTACAATGAAGTCGTGCTTGTCTCTGTTCTTTTGATGCTAAAATCCCTTTTTGTCCCGACCTGCAGGGCGTCAACCTGGGGCAAGAGAGTCAGGGATAGGGAATGGGGACAAGAGACGCAGAAAGAACAACCACAAGACAGGATTCTGATCAAGTGGCAAACTTTACTTTTCTCAGACTGGCTTATATAGTCAGCAGAGCAGGATATGAGGAGGGGCAGAATGGGTTGTTTGTGCACCTGGTGTTAGTATAGGCAGGCTATTAGGAAGCCACAAAGAGGATGTATGGCAGGGTAAAGAGTTCATGAGTAAGAGGTCCGGGAAGGGTTGCCCAGGTGACTGAGCCTGTGGGTGGAGGACTGGGTCAAGTTGTTTCTTTTCTTGAGCTGAGGTTCTAAGGAGCTGCTATGTAAAGGTTAATACACAACTATGTGGCTGGCCAAGAATGGCCTAGGATCTCATTCCAAGCCCTGAGATTTGGCTCCCAACACCTTTTTAAGCTTTTGTGAAGTTTACATGGTTGTTCGAAATACTATTGCCAGCTGCCCGGTTCTGCAGCCACTTGACTAGTCTTGGGAAGGAGTCTCTCGGCACCTGGACACTCATGGCTTTCAGTAACTGGCTGCTCATGGCAGCAGGTTCCCCTCTTCCTTTGTGAACTTCAGGGTGTGGGGTGATCCCATTCACTGACACCATTCTGTAACAATAAGTCTTTCTGCAGAGCTGCCCAAGTCCTGCTGCCATGTGGGCACTTTCAGCCAGGCAGCCCACGTTAAGGTCCCAAGTAACACACAGAGACTTATATTAGGTACAAATACTGCTTGGCCAATGACTAGGATTTCTCACCTGCTAGCTCAGTCTTAATTACTATGAATCTATATATTTTATAAGACTTATCTTATAGAGGATGCCTTCCGCTAGCTCCCTTTCTTTGCCGGAGGATCACATGGCAGGGCCAGAGCTGAGAGCAGGAGGAAGAGAAAAAAAGGAATGACTTCCTTCTTGCCCTTTTTTATATATGAGCCTTACTGCTATGTCACTTCCTGCCTGGATCATAACACTTCTTTACTACATTTCCCAGAATCCTCCTCAACTCCTAGTCCTGTTGGCCAAACAGTGCTATATTCAACAACCAATAAGATAAACATACACAGAAGGACATTCTCCATCAAGTAACTTTGACTCAATTTATTTGTATTCTTGTTGTTGTTACTGGTTTTTCAAGATAAGGTTTCTCTGTTTAACAGCCCTTCCTGTTTATGTAGTTAGCATTTATTTACTTTTTTTTATAAAGTAGTACTAGGGAATCAGGTATGATGCTTCACATCTGTAGTCCTAGCACTCAGGAGGCTAAGACAGAAGGATTGTAAATTTGTGCCAGTCTGGGCTACACAGTAAGTCCCTGTCTTGGAACTTGATCTGTAGACCAGGCTAGCCTTGAACTCACAGAGATCTGCCTGCCCCTGCCTTCCCTAGCGCTGGGATTAAAGGCCTGTGCCCCCAGTGCCTGGGTTTGTCGCAAGTTTTTTAAGCTTTTAGTTAGGAAACCTTTATCTTATTCATTTTAGCATTGAGCAAAATTTAGTGTTGTTTCTTGTGGCTTGGGAATTTTCAACTGTATATTTCAGGTTATCTAGAAAGTATTGAAGATATTATGAAGTGATTGATATCTCTTTTGGAGAGATAACTCAAGGGAGTTGCCTTCAAGGGATTGTTCTCTGGTCAGAGGAAACAGAAATGAATGCAAATATAGTGGCTGCAGGGTGCTGTCACAGTCCTGTCCATGGCAATCTGAAATTCATCAAACATAGGAGAGTGGGTTTTCAGGGTTGACAAGATGGTTTAGTGGGTAAAGGTGCTTGCTGCCAAGTCTGATGATCTGAGTTCAGTTCCCAGAACCCACATGTTGTAAGAACAGGAACAACTCCTGCAAGAAGACTCTTGTTTTCTGTCCGCCACGTTCACACCATGGCACACTCTGCACACACACAAAATAAATACAATTTAAGAATCTTTGGTGGCCAGAGAAAGCCTCAGTAGGTAAAGGTGCTTGCTGCCAAGCTGAACAACTGGAGTTCTATCTCTGGGACCCAAAAAAAGGAAGAGGACTGACTCTTTCAAGTTCTTCTTGACCTTCACATAAATGTGCATGCACAAATGTACACATGAATAAATAAATGTAATAAAACATTTTAAAATAGCTTTTAAGTAGTAATAGATTTTTAAAACAAGTGTTAATACTTCAGGTACAGCTTACTTTTGCCTGGGCATAATGGTACAAGCTGATGGTCCTAGGTTACTTGTGAAACTGCGTTGGGGATTACTTGAATCCAGGTATTTGAGCTAGCTAACAAAAACAAAAAATTCTGTTTTTGTAGTTAGCATTTCTTTACTTTTTTTATAAAGTAGTATTAGGGAATCAGGCACGGTGCTTCACATCTGTAGTCCTAGCACTCAGGATTGTAACTTTGTGCCAGTCTGGGCTACACAGTGAGTCCCTGTCTCAAATGGGGGCCTGTGAGATGGCTCAGACAGTAAAAGTATTTGCTGTGCAAACCTGACAACCTGAGTTAGATCCCCTGAACCCATGGTAGAAGAGCCCACTCCCAAGAGCAGCCCTTTGGTCTCCATATATGCACTGTGGCATGTACACACCTGCACTTAACATCGTATCTTAGAAACTAAAAATAAAACTAAGGTTTATCCAGCAATTCCACTAGTGGGCATTTGAGATGAAATCCATAAGCCAAAGAAAATTTCAACCCCATGTTTACTGTAGCACTTTCATAATACAAATCATGCTTTTAATTGGCAAATGGATAAGGAAAGTGCTTGTTTGTAACAATAGAATAATAGTCATAAAAACAGTGAAACCCTGTCATTTTCAGGAATGTGAGTGAAAAACCGCAGGATACATTGTTGAGTGAACATAATGACACATAATGACAAATACTTGTTCTAATCAATGTCACCCTTGTAGAAGTACGGAATAGAAAAGGGTTGGGGGGAAGGACTTTAGAGATATAAAAGGGTGAAAAGACCTACCAGGAGTCACACTCTAAAGACAACTGATTCTCTCCCTCAGAAGCCTTAGCTCTTCAATTAGGGGCGGGGCTCATGAGCCCCTTCCCACTCCATGTTAGAACAGGCAAGCACATTTGTTGTGAGTTCATGAGTTCAGAAGTCCTGTCATGTCCTGAAGACACTTGGCTCTGGTCCTTTTCTACCTATGGCTTCTACAGACTTTCCTCTTCTATAAGTACCTGAACCCGATTCAAGACATTTTGAGGCAGCTATATACTTAGATTTTTTATTATTAAATTATTGTGTTGGGTTGTAATTGAATGATAGAACACTTAACTCACATGTAGTCTCCAGCTCTGGAAAAATAAAATAAAATTGTCACCAGGTGGTGGTGGTGCATACCTTCAATCCCAACACTCAGGAGGCAGAGGCAGAGGCAGAGGCAGAGGCAGAGGCAGAGGCAGGTTTATCTCTGTGAGTTTGAGGCCATTCTGGTCTACAGAGTTCCAGGGCAGGCAGGCTTGTTAAATAGAGAAACCGGTCTCAAAAAACCAAAATGAAAAATTTAAACAGTTTATCCCTAAACATTATTGATAGTGGAAGTAAACAGTCATTTTAACTCTATAGGTATAGGAACTATGGTGGCTTAAAATACTTACTAGAAGGGGTGTGTGTGGGTTTGTGATTAATGTAATGGGATATAGGATATAGCCCACAGATTTACTTAATTTTTAAAAAATAAATTTAGTTGACAAAATGGCAGTTTAGGAGGTAAATGATTAGCTTTATAAGCTTCGTTAAAAATAACTAGACATTTATTTGGACATATTTTTGTTAATCTTTTATGTTTATTAAAAGAAGATCCTCTTTGAAAAAGTTCCATGGGCTCTAAATAATTTGAGATGACGGTTTATTTCTTTTCTAAAAATGAACTCTAGCTATATATTTTTGCATAGCCTAAATATAATTAAATCAGGTTTGATTCATTTGAGTTGCCTATTAAATATTTATTTTTTGCAGGTATATTTGCCTATTTAAATTACCATGTTCCCCGAACAAGACGAGAAATCTTGGAAACTCTAATCAAAGGCCTTCAGAGATTGGAGTACAGAGGATATGATTCTGCTGGTATTTTCTTTAAAAATATACTATGGGATTTGCATTGATTCTTGACTCTTAAGTAGTATTTTAATTATTTTTAGGAGACTTAACTCTGTGTTTGCTTTGTAAATGCAGGTCATGTCTAAAGGGTTTCCTTATGTCATTTCAACAGTATTATCATTTATGTGGATATTGGCTCTTACAGTAATTTCTTTTGTAAAGAATGATGCTATAGGGCTGGGGTTGTGGTTTACTTGTTAGCATACTTGAAGCTTTGGTTCATCCCTAGCACCATACACACAAACTGGGTTTGATGTTCATACCTGTAATCCAGCACTGAGGAAGTAGAGTCAGGAAGATAAGTTCAAAGTCATTCTCAGATACCTACTAAGTTTGAGGCCAGCCTGGACTGCAGGAGACTTTGTCTCATAAAACAAAGCAAAAGTTGACTATGAAAACATAAATCATGGGGGCTGGAGAGATGGCTCAGTGGTTAAAAGTACTGGCTGCTCTTCCAAAAGACCTAGGTTCCATTCCCAGCACCCACATGGCTGCTCACCAATCTCTGTAACTTCAATTCCAAGGGATCCAGTACCCTCATATAGGCAAATCAATATACATTAAAAAAAAATAAATATTTTTAAAAACCATAAGTCATAGGACATTTTAATGAGAATAAGCTGTAGCACACCTTACCTAATAAATTACTTGTTGTTTTTAAAGTGTTTATTGATTTTTAAAATTGTGTGTGTGTGCATGAGCGAAGGTCCTAGAGCTACATGTGGCTGTGAGCTGCTGGAGATTCAAGTTTAGGGTCTTGTACATGCTGGGTAAGCACTCTGCTATTGAGGGATATCCCGAGCCAAGATGCTCTGTTTATCTAAATGACAAGTTAAGTAAAAATGACTTTCTGGCAGAGTCAGTTTGACTCTAGCTCCTTGTGTTGGGATCCACCGGAAGCTCCTATTCCATGGTTCCTGGAGTGACTCATGAGCCTCATCAGAGAATTGAATGCATAGCACTGTGATTCACTACAGCAGAAGGCTCCAGATCTCAGTCAGGAATGGGAACAGGTGTAGGATGAAGTCTGCAGGAAGCAGGCTCCAGCTTCTACCAGGCCTCTTTTAACAGGGTATACTCAACTTCCCTAGCAGCAGGCTGAGGTGGTACATGTGGATGCTGTCTACTAGGTAAGCCTCTGATGACTCAGGGCCCAGAGCACAGTGCCCAGCACCTGCCAGCAGTTCATCCCAGAGGGACACACTGTTTTCATGTGTGAAATCTAAAATCCTAGATGCAAATCAAGGGCCAACCTTAGTCTTTCTAAGGATAGCAGTGTTGGTTTCTCATTTCCTGTTTTAGTGGTGTGTTAAGTAATACCTAGTCCTGTTCCTTAGTTGTTCAAATTCTCCAATTTTAGCTTTTCCAACAACATATCTTCTCATAAGAATGCTGATTATGTTTTCTGTCAGCTTTGGAGGCTCCTTTTCTTATGTCTTAAATAGTAATGCTCTTGAAAATTTTTTTCATTTTGATTATCATTAGTCTTTGTCTGTTTTCTCAACGGACTGTTAGACAAGAATTGAGCTCTCTTAATCCCTTTCCTGACCTTCCTTCTCTTCCCCTCTTTTCTGATGCTGGGTTTGAACCCAATACCTGCTAAATACCACTGAGCTGCCCCAACCCCAGCCTTATTTTCATTTTTTGTTTTAAGCAACTGTCACTTAACACATAATAGATTTTCAGAAAGTCTACTTGGTAAATTAATTATTTAGATGAATATATAATTACCCATTATTATTATTACTAGTATTATTTTTGCCTCATATTGGTGCTCTTAACAACCAGTTTCTCAGTGTTGTTTTTTTACCTACCTCTTACTCATTTAGGTGTGGGACTTGATGGCGGCAATGACAAAGACTGGGAAGCCAATGCCTGCAAAATCCAACTCATTAAGAAGAAAGGGAAAGTTAAGGCACTGGATGAAGAAGTTCACAGTAATGTACTTAGTTTGATTTTTCCCATTCTCTCCTTTTGTGGAATCCATTTTGAGGAAGACTTAAAGGTTGAAGAGAAAGAAGAAAAGTGATTTTGTTAACGGCTTAGATTTAAATTGTCTCTGAGCTTCAGAAATGATCATAGCAACTAGAAAGGAAATTAGGTACAGTGGGTTTAGGGCAAGCTCAGACCTCTACATGAAGAAGCTTCAGAAGAGCCATCCTGAGGGATAGGCCTCACATAGGTAGCCTGCTCATATGTCTCCACTTGGCATGGTTTTTACTTTGCTTGATAATGACCCCAAATGGGAGATGCTAATGCTGGTTTGCTGATCTGCTAGAAAATCCAGAAGGTGCTTCTTGTTAAGGGAGAGGGTGAAAGTTGTTAATTAACAGGGAAAGAAGGAATATCAAATACTGAGTCTGCTAGGAGATATGGTAAGGATGAACCTTTTATCTAAAATTGAGAAGAAAAAACAAGTTGGTGCTAGCGCTGCTGTCACGTCTCAAGCAGAAAACGCTATGGCCACAGACCATAATGACATGGTATAGGAAAACACATGCTATGCAGTTGTAGGCATTCAACTTGAAACACAAACATTGTCGATGGGGATGCTGGTGTAGTTATATTTAACATAACTTAATCTGTAGCATTATCAAATGCTAGTTTTAAATTTTATCTTTTACAGAACAGCAAGATATGGACTTGGATATAGAATTTGATGTACATCTTGGAATAGCTCATACCCGTTGGGCAACACATGGAGAACCTAGTCCTGTCAATAGTCACCCCCAACGTTCTGATAAAAATAATGGTATGAATAGCTTGTGCATACTTGGAAATGATCTTAGTGGGCCAGTGATGGGAGGAGAATCAAGGTGCTAATGTTATTTTAATTAGATTCTCATTTTGAAATTTCAAAACATAGTCAGGGAGTATATAAAACTTGATCCCATCACCAAACTTCAACCCTCCTCCTTGTATAGGTTATTTTAGAATTCCAGTAATAAAGATTGGTAACTTTAATATGCCAATCGTTTTATCTTTATCTTGTAATTTAATGTGTTGTTTATCTGTAAGTTTCCTGTGGTCTAGGTATTACTAATTTCATCTACTACTGTTATGTTATTTAGTGTTTCCCCATGTCTTCAATTTTTTTCTGTTTTGTTTGTTTTTTTAACATGGTCTCACTCTGTAGATCTGGCTGGCCTTGAACTTGCATTGGTCCTCCCTTCCTTGCCTCCTTTTTTTTTTTTTTTTTTTTTGAGACAAATGTGAGATCTTTCAGTATACAGAACATTTTGAATGCTGTAATATAAAATTAGATTTACATTAGATGTGGTTACACATGCCTGTTGTTCTGGTTATGCAGGAGGCTGAGGTAGGAAGAGTGATTAAGTCTAGGAATTGAGACCAGCCAAGGCAACAAAACCATTGTATTTAGTAATAATTATTCTTTCTTGTTGTTGTTTAGACAGGGACTCACTATGAGGCCATGGCTGGCCTGAAACTCACTATGTAGGCCAAGCTGGCCTTGAACTCAGAAATCCTCCTAACTCTGCCTCCTGAGTGCTGGGATTGAAGGCATGTGTCACCGTACCCAGCCATAATTATTCTATTGATTTGTGAATTTAAAGCCACACTGTATACTGTCATGGCTGCACATAATACTGTTAATTCTTGGTTATCTATTTTTAACATTTTTCAGTCATCATTTAATAAAAAATAGATGAAATTGATCTCTCATATTTATTTGCTCTTGGAATGCTACTTTGACATTTTCATGTGACATTCCAGGAGTCATCTGGACCTTACATAAATCAATTTATAGAACTTGGTAATTATGTAATTATGAGTTCTTAGACTTTATTTAGTTTCACTGTGATTGTTTTAGTTGTAAAAGACTTCTTTTTTTTTTTTTCTTTGGTTTTTCGAGGCAGGGTTTCTCTGTAGCTTTGCAGCCTGTCCTGGCACCCCCCCTTTTGCCCCGGCTGGGCTTTGACTCC